TGACCTCTGGGTGCCTCCATCTGAAGGGGCCTCATAACTTGATTTGCCTAAAGCCTCAAACCAGCCCTGTTTAATACCCCTTGGTTTTAAGCTTCCAATACATGAGATCTACAGCTATTGCATTATTGCCACAGTCCCGACTCGTCTGTTGCAAGATCTCACATAAGAGCTGGCAAAGGAAATAGGAACACATGATAGTGCCTGGGTCATCACTCATCCATCTGTTCTACAGCTAACAAGGAAAATCCTTAGTCGACTCTAACAAGGAAATTTGTCCCTTAGGGCTGCTGCTCCCCACAGTAGTCTGAAGGTCACTTATAAAGCGAGCCACATTATCTCCCTACACGAGAACTAGTTGCAGTTTCTTTAAACTGCATGCTAGGTTAATGCCTGGCACTTTCTCTCTATAGATGTAATTTCATGTGCTCTTTCTCAAAATCACTTTTTTCTCCCCTTTTTCATCAATCAGCAATCACTTAATTGTTTACAGCGCAGCCTAGTTGGTAACTGGCAAAAATCTGGTCCCAATAGGAGCCAAGAATGTTGGGAAATCGGTGATATCACCTGTATATATACATCTATCTTCTATCATCATCATCGGAGAGCTAACGCCGACAGGGGCGCATAGCCGCAACCACCCTTCGATGATTTCTTACGGCAAGCCATCTCCCGAGCTCCCCACGATTGGTTTAATAGAACTGCCCAAGCTACTACTCCTAGGTCGTCCCACAGGCCTCCACCCAGGGCTGTCTCGTACAGAGACACCCTGGTGGGCAGGATCATCCTGTGGGAAGCAAGCCAGTTGGCCATATAGCCTGAGTTGGCAAGTAACAGGTCCTGTGCCAGTCTAACAGTGCAACCGTTGGTTGGACATGTGGTCCCGCCATGATCTGGCTCGTCCTGGTTTCAATACAGTATAGTAAAACTGGCATTGTCAGGGCCTTGAAGAAGTGTAGCTTGGTCCTTCTGCACATCTTCAAATACTCTTATCGAAAGAGTTCATGAACCCTGCCGCCAGGCCAATCCATCTACTGACTTCCTGGTCTGACATCCCTGAATTATGAACTACACTACCAAGGTGTCCTCGCTGCAAGCACAGAACGACCGAGCAGGTTCTAGGAAGTTCCCAAAGTCCTGGATCTAGGTCTTAGTCGAGGAGACTTTTA